AATTGTGTGAAACAAAGTTACAATTACAACAGTGTCACCATATATAATAGTAGAAATAAATATAATCACAGCTGTGATATGTAAAGTTGTAATTGTGAGGTCACAAAAGTGAAAAAACTGCCATGACATAAAAGTCATAATTGTGACAGTCATAATTTTGTATGTTGCAACACTGACAAAAAGTTTTGAGAAATATAAACTATTAAAAAAATTCACAGTTGTGAGATATAATTAGGTTTCAAATGGGAGAAATAGAGTCAATTATGACAAACAATGTGATAAACTCTGAGATAAAGTCTCAATTACGAGAGATTAAACTGCAGTTGTGGGACATTCATAATTGTGAGATGTCGCAACATTGACAATTAAAGTCACAATTCTGAGAAATAAGTACAATTACAAAATATATAGTCACAGTTGTAAGATACAAAGTTGCAATTCTGAGATAAAATGTAGGAAATGTGTAAATAGGTTTCCATATAAAATATTCATTCATTCATTCATTTTGGATAGAACAAACACACACTTTTATTTGGAAATGAATCACTTCATGGCTGTGAGCATCTGTAATGTTTTAATGATCAAAATTTCATACACGTGCCATAACATTAACAGTATTGTTACAATAAATACAAAATGTACGTAGTAAGATTCTTAGATGTAGGTTACATTTACAATGAAGAACATTCATGTATTTACACACAGTCATTTAGATAAAGTTTATGCTTTTATGAGAACAGTAAATACATAATATCCTGCCTTCATTTCCCAAAACATTGTGGTGGGTGCACAGTCCACATTTTGGCAATAATACACAGTCTAATCTTCTTGTATTTTGGGAGAAAAACCCCTAAAAAGTCAGGACTTATCATGTTGCCAGATATAAACCCATATTTTCACATCAGTGAATGACAACAATTAAGAAAATGAGATTGTGATCACTTTCGGCAAAAACGTTAGTGCTATATATTCTCACAAAATATCTCTTTAATGTCTCATAAATATCTCTTTAAATACTAAAAATGAAATGAAATCAATATTCGGATAAACATTTCAGTATCATTTTATTTATATGATTTTTACAAATAAAATGACATGGATTTCCTTTGTGTTAATCACTGATTGTCCAAAACAAAACAAAATTATTCCTAAATTTGGTGTCAGTTTGGACTGTAAGTGCCATGAAATACTACTCAACACTTTGATACAGAAATATCAATATGGGCAATTTGTCGTCAATATTGAATGCTTTAATTGGTACGGTAACATCTCCAGTATAAGACCTCTTCATGATATACACATACACAAACACACACACACACACACACACACACACACACACACACACACACCGATACACACACACACACACACACACACGATATATATAGTCTCCCCTGAGGCTACGTTGTGCATGACTATCATATATTCATAAATTAAGGCTGAGCGTTTAAACATCAATAATATTTCAAACAAACATTAACCACAGTAGAAGGGCTCTAGTGCATAAAGTCACAATTACATCACAATTAACATCTAAAATCGCAATTACATTACGTAAAATCATATTTATGAGAAATAAAATCTCTTGTGATATATTGTTAAAATGTGATATAAAAACGCAATTGTAAAAAATAAAGTCATGATATAAAGTCGCAATTAACATAAAATTGCAATTACTGTAAGTCACAACAATCACAATTATGAAATTAAAATTCACAATTGTGACCTAGTCGCAATCAAAAAGAATAAAGTAGCAATTCATTGGATATAGCCACATCGCACCACCTTGTTCATGTCATCAGAAACTGGCAGAGATCTTTGAAAATAAAAGATTTTGCATCACTTCATCGCTGTCAGTGTGAACGGGCCTTAATGCTAAATGAAATCCCTGACTGCCCCTAATGTTTCATAATGTGACACATTGCTAATTTATGAATGGCTAATGAATCAGAGCCGTGAAGAGTGGCATGTTCTGACAGCACTTCTGTCAATGACGTGAACACGTTAAGCGGTGACAGATAAATGTGTCACATTTGATAGATATGATGGACATCTATGTCAGTCAAACTGGTGAGTGGCACTGCTGAGGGGAGATCGTGGGCGGACAGGAGATAGGGCGCTTTGAGAGGATGGGAAAGGATGACCGAGTGGGAGGTTGAAAAATATGAAAAGAAAGAAGAGAAAAGGTGTTTTTTTCCATTCTATCCCCTGATACTGAAAACAGAACAACCTCGCCCTGTCTCAGTGGTGCAGGGTGGCACGTGAGAGAGTGTAATACACGTACTGAAAGCCTGACACACGTTTACATACATACACTGAAATAGTGGCCACATTGGCGTTAAAATCTTCAGAAGTGATCGGTATGTTGCCCTTTGAGAAGTTATGTCCTCTTTGAGAACACAAGACATATGGCTCTTACACGGTAACTGCAAAAAACTACAAATGAAATAATAAAATTCAGTAGTGTGCATTATTTGAGTAGTAATATTAACAGACATAATAATATGTTGTATTTTAGACATGAATATATATATACTGTGTATATATATATATATATATATATACACAGTATATATATATTCATGTCTAAAATACAACATATTATTATGTCTGTTAATATTACTACTCAAATAATGCACACTACTGAATTTTATTATTTCATTTGTAGTTTTTTGCAGTTACCGTGTAAGAGCCATATGTCTTGTGTTCTCAAAGAGGACATAACTTCTCAAAGGGCAACATACCGATCACTTCTGAAGATTTTAACGCCAATGTGGCCACTATTTCAGTGTATGTATGTAAACGTGTGTCAGGCTTTCAGTACGTGTATTACACTCTCTCACGTGCCACCCTGCACCACTGAGACAGGGCGAGGTTGTTCTGTTTTCAGTATCGGGATAGAATGGAAAAAAACACCTTTTCTCTTCTTTCTTTTCATATTTTTCAACCTCCCACTCGGTCATCCTTTCCCATCCTCTCAAAGCGCCCTATCTCCTGTCCGCCCACGATCTCCCCTCAGCAGTGCCACTCACCTGTTTGACTGACATAGATGTCCATCATATCTATCAAATGTGACACATTTATCTGTCACCGCTTAACGTGTTCACGTCATTGACAGAAGTGCTGTCAGAACATGCCACTCTTCACGGCTCTGATTCATTAGCCATTCATAAATTAGCAATGTGTCACATTATGAAACATTAGGGGCAGTCAGGGATTTCATTTAGCATTAAGGCCCGTTCACACTGACAGCGATGAAGTGATGCAAACCACACTGAACGAGAAACTGCTGAGTGACATGACACGTTCACAGCCAATCAGATGTATGTACAGTTATGAAGAGAGAAACAATGAGATTTCACAGTGGGAGGAGCTATTTCTAATGCCATAGAATTAGAAAATGTCTTGTCGCGGCCTGTTCACACTGACAGCGATATTATTGTTGGAGGACTCGCTGTTAAGTTAACTAAACCATAAAGTTAAAATACAGTTGTGAGATAAAACTATCTAGATATACAGTCACAATGTGAGAAATAAAGTCGCAATTGTGAGAATTAAAGTTGAAATTTATTATATAAGTTTGTAATTAAGCCACAATTAAGAGAAATAATATCTCTTCTGCTATATTACGATATAAAGTCACAATTATAAATTGGAAAAACATTAAGTCACAATTACGAGAAATAAAATCTCTTGTGATATACAGTCAAAACTGAGATATACTAATAATGCGACTGAGATATAAAAACGTAATTGCGAAAAAGTCACAATTACAATATAAAATCATATTTATCACTTACAACTGCAATTACATTAAGTAAAGTCACAATTAAGAGATATAAAATATCTTGTGAAATATGGTCACGATATTGTGTGACTGTGATACATGAAAATGCAGTCGCGAGAAATAGCCACAATTACATCACAATTAACATCTAAAATCGCAATTACATTACGTAAAATCATATTTATGAGAAATAAAATCTCTTGTGATATATTGTTAAAATGTGATATAAAAACGCAATTGTAAAAAATAAAGTCATGATATAAAGTCGCAATTAACATAAAATTGCAATTACTGTAAGTCACAACAATCACAATTATGAAATTAAAATTCACAATTGTGACCTAGTCGCAATCAAAAAGAATAAAGTAGCAATTCATTGGATATAGCCACATCGCACCACCTTGTTCATGTCATCAGAAACTGGCAGAGATCTTTGAAAATAAAAGACTTTGCATCACTTCATCGCTGTCAGTGTGAACGGGCCTTAATGCTAAATGAAATCCCTGACTGCCCCTAATGTTTCATAATGTGACACATTGCTAATTTATGAATGGCTAATGAATCAGAGCCGTGAAGAGTGGCATGTTCTGACAGCACTTCTGTCAATGACGTGAACACGTTAAGCGGTGACAGATAAATGTGTCACATTTGATAGATATGATGGACATCTATGTCAGTCAAACTGGTGAGTGGCACTGCTGAGGGGAGATCGTGGGCGGACAGGAGATAGGGCGCTTTGAGAGGATGGGAAAGGATGACCGAGTGGGAGGTTGAAAAATATGAAAAGAAAGAAGAGAAAAGGTGTTTTTTTCCATTCTATCCCGATACTGAAAACAGAACAACCTCGCCCTGTCTCAGTGGTGCAGGGTGGCACGTGAGAGAGTGTAATACACGTACTGAAAGCCTGACACACGTTTACATACATACACTGAAATAGTGGCCACATTGGCGTTAAAATCTTCAGAAGTGATCGGTATGTTGCCCTTTGAGAAGTTATGTCCTCTTTGAGAACACAAGACATATGGCTCTTACACGGTAACTGCAAAAAACTACAAATGAAATAATAAAATTCAGTAGTGTGCATTATTTGAGTAGTAATATTAACAGACATAATAATATGTTGTATTTTAGACATGAATATATATATACTGTGTATATATATATATATATATATATACACATACATACATACATACATACATATATATTATTGGTTATTTTAACAATTAAATATAGAGTGTCTAATAGAAAGATTAAAAGTCTTTGGAAGTTTAACAAGGGAGCTACATAGCAAATGGTAGGATGGAAGAAGAGAGTAAAATTAAGTCGTAAATACATACAGTAGAATCCCACAGTGAAGAAACTCTCTTCTACACAAGAAAAGAGTAGTGATTATGTTACAGCTACCCTGCCTTTGTTATTCAGTGCTTTTGTGTTATGGTTGAAGATATGTGTGTGTGTGTGTGTCTATTTATGCTTCTAAGCACCTGGATCTCAGTGTTTATAATCGTGTTTGAGCCTCTGGGATGTATATTTCAATGCTGTCGGCGCATTCTGTGGCAGAGTTCTGGCGCTGAGAGGCGGCAGCACGTTTAGCCGCTAGCAGCCGTTTACGAGCCTCCAACCGCTGGGAGCCCTCCAGAGACCGGTCTCTCACTAGCAGCATAGGACCCCTCCCCGGCTTCCTGGGTACCGGAGGGGGCATGCGCCTCTCCTGGACAGCAACGACAAACTGGTTAGTGCCAATCCTCGACGTAACACAACACTGCTAATGCATGCAATTGTGGGGTCATCTGTTGGGTCATTGGTAATATTTAGTTGTGTTTGAGTGCCAGGCATCAGCCAAATACATTAGGTGAGAGCTTGGCCATTACAGAAGTCGTTTTTGTGAGCTAAGAGTTCAACCCATTTGGCATGAGGTGAATGGGACCACTGGACGTAAACCACATGCAGCGTGCAATTTGGGAGCATCCCCTCAAAACCAGATCACTGTCAAAGACAGAACACATAAAATAATAAGAAAATGAGCAAAACAAATCAAAGCATAACACATACAATATTCATGAATAAAATAAGATTGATAACATTCAAATAAAATATTAAACAAAAAAGCAATAGACCTATAGAGTCAGAGAAAACGGCATATTTAACCGAATGCAAATACAGAAAACTGACCGTTCAATACATTTGAGCTGAGATTTTGAATATTGTGCTGGTTGTTCTTTTCCATGCAACTCATTGTGCAAGCATTGTTAAAGTAGTTAATGTGACTTAATATGTGCCCTAGCGCTCCTTGGCTTGATCATAAGAATTTGTGAGAGAAGTAGTTATGTCTGATTCACAAACAAATCATTATTTTGATTCTTTTTAATGATTATTTGGTTCAGCTTACATATTTTTAATTTTTAAGCCAGATCACAACATTGATCCGAATGATTCTGTGACAAATTGGACTGATTCGATTCTTGACTCACTGACTCAATTTCTGATGGCAGCAGTTAACAGCTCACATAATGACTCTAATTTTGATATTTTCCTCACACAAAGCTATCGTATGACTTCAGAAGACCAGGAATATAATGCACAAGTCATACGGACTACTTTTATAATGCTTGCGTGCTGTGTTTGTGCCCTTCTTTAAGCTTGAAGGCCTCAAGCTTCATTCATATGTGATGAAAAAGAGTGAACTGTACAATTATTCAAAACAGTTCATTTTGGGGAAAATGATATAAATTTGGAACTAATAAGTAAATAATTACATAATTTTCATTTTGGGTGAACTGTTCAAGACAGAATGGCATACTGAACAGAATACTCTTCCACCCCTCACAGTCTTTTTTTTTTTTTGCATTAAATTTAATAATGCATCTACTCTGACATATATCGAACAGTTAAAATAAACCAATCATTCATCTTAAGCATGCCAACGAAATGTCACTGCACTGTATTTAAACAGCGTTGCAAATTAATATGTGTCAACTGAGGTATTCTTAGCTATTTTTAGATAGTGTGTAATGCATCTGGATTTGTGATGTAAAATCTGTACCTTTCTCTCAGGAGGCTCCGGTGCTTTCCAGTTGTTAGCTTTCAGCTGGTGTAGCTCATCAAACTTCAGGCTGATGTTCTCAATGGACAGCTGCAGCATATCCCAGAATCCTGCCAGATCTTGAGACACGGGCCGCGGGTGGGCATTGGGATTCTGACAGCCAGAGAACAGATTATACACAAAACACTGTTTAACGTATGCAGCAACAAGAGACCATATGGCAAACAACGTGCTGTCATCGGACAGATTAGCATATTTTATGTATTCAGGGAAAGAGGGAAGGGTTAGAGAAGAGAGAGTGGAAGGAGACTGATATAGAAAGAGTGAGAGGAAAAAGAAAATATACAGAGAAAGAGGGAGCGAAAGAAATGAAGGAGACGGGTGGCTCCCTGCTGGTAGAAATGTCTGGTATGTGAGAGGGAGACAGAGAGGATATAGATGAACAAGCAGGCTTTGTGACTGACACGAAGACCGTCACTGTGTGTGCTTGAGCAGGGAAATGGCGGGAAGTGGGATAAAAAGAAAGAGTCCGGCCTGAGGTAACCAGACTGTGAAATGACCTTGTGCACTGGTAGTTTTGTTAAAGTGGCTAATTATTCTTGGACACAGACTGTAGAAATGTCATTCTAGTTTTGCAAAAAAAAAAAAAATTATTAACTTGATTTTAAAGTAACAGTGGAATTGGAAATTCAATGATTTAGCAACAACAGCCATTTTGCTATGATTACTTTCCTATATGGTGTAAAATAACTCAAGTTGCCTAACTAGAGTGTGATGTAAAAAGATAGATTGAGAGTGAAAAAGAGTAAATATCATATCAGATTACCAAACAAAGGTGAATTGTCTTAAAGGAAGCTAATGTTTGCCATGCGGGGGTCATTTAAAGGCTTTCGCCGTGGACTGAGGAGTGACTGCAGCGTGTCTCTGTGGATTGGAGCCATGAGGCAGTTTAAACAGAGATCCGACGAAATGAACTCACTCTGTTTAACGTATGCAGCAACAAGAGACCATATGGCAAACAACGTGCTGTCATCGGACAGATTAGCATATTTTATGTATTCAGGGAAAGAGGGAAGGGTTAGAGAAGAGAGAGTGGAAGGAGACTGATATAGAAAGAGTGAGAGGAAAAAGAAAATATACAGAGAAAGAGGGAGCGAAAGAAATGAAGGAGACGGGTGGCTCCCTGCTGGTAGAAATGTCTGGTATGTGAGAGGGAGACAGAGAGGATATAGATGAACAAGCAGGCTTTGTGACTGACACGAAGACCGTCACTGTGTGTGCTTGAGCAGGGAAATGGCGGGAAGTGGGATAAAAAGAAAGAGTCCGGCCTGAGGTAACCAGACTGTGAAATGACCTTGTGCACTGGTAGTTTTGTTAAAGTGGCTAATTATTCTTGGACACAGACTGTAGAAATGTCATTCTAGTTTTGCAAAAAAAAAAAAAATTATTAACTTGATTTTAAAGTAACAGTGGAATTGGAAATTCAATGATTTAGCAACAACAGCCATTTTGCTATGATTACTTTCCTATATGGTGTAAAATAACTCAAGTTGCCTAACTAAAAACAATGTTTATGGCATCAAAGATGCATTTAGAACATTACAATTGAACATATGAATCTCCCAAAAAGTGGTTTTAAATTGAGAATTCCAGAAAGGTAATGCTGTTGAATTTTTGTAAATGAGCCTATAATGCCCCAAAAGGCTGATGAATCAAACATTCTAAATGATTCTACAATGACCCAACATGCAGTTGAATTGAACATTCTTATGGCCAAAAAAATACTATTGAATCAAACATTTTAAATGAGTCCATAATGACTTAAAATACAGTTAAATCGAATGTTCTAAATGAGCCTTCAATGACCCAAAATGCTGTTAAATTGAATTTTTTAATAAGTCTTCAATGACCCAAAATGCTGTTGAATCAAAAATTCTAAATGATTCTTCGATGACCCAAAATGCTTTTGAATCGAACATTCCAATGCCCCCAAATGCAGTTGAATCATAAAATTCTAAATGATTCTTCAATGACCCAAAATGCCATTGAATCAAACATTCTAAATGATTCTACAATGACCCAAAATGCCATTGAATCAAACATTCTAATGCCCCAAAATGCAGTTGAATTGAACATCTTAAATGAGTCTACAATGACCCAAAATGCAGTTAAATCAAATATTGTAAATGAGTCTTCAATGACCCAAAATGCTGTTGAATCAAACATTCTGAATGAGTTTACATATGCAGACAGGCAGCGAAGTACCTTTTTGAGAGTAAATATCTCAGAGTTACTCACTTTCTTCTGGAAGCTCATTCTCTCTCTCATCCTGCTCCATCTGTTTGCACCACCCCTCCATCCTCTCCACCTCTGCTTGCAGCAGTTTCAGAAACCAGCATCCGTCCTGCGGACACACAAACCCTGACACCCCACTCGCGTATTCCTCCTCCATGGCTCCATCCATCCAGGGGTCTGGAGGGGGCAGAATGGAAGGGTCGAAGCCCACATCGGTGTAGTCATCTTGGACACAGGCATGGTAGTGGTTCCCAGAGCCCTGGATGCTGACAGTGGAAGTGGCTGCATCTTGGGATGGCTGGTGGGCAATGGGCCCCTGGTGGGTCTGTGTGAACTGGTCATCGCCGAGACACTCCAGAAGGTCTAGATCAGCTTGAACGGCAGTGGTGACGCTGTTGGAGCGTGTGACTCTGCGGTAGCTGGAAAGAAAAGATGAACCATGTTGTATAGTTTGTTTTCAAGTTTTTTTTTCTCCAAAATGTGAATCTAACACTCAAAAATAATGTTGACTTGTTGCACCTATGCTAAAAAATGCTGGCGAATGGAGCATTCCAAGCATGTCCCAATAGTGCTTGCTGACAATGGCTTTTTTGAATTTGTTGATTATAACAAAGAATAGACTAAAAATGTGCATCATAACAATAAACAATTTAAATTAAAACATACTGTTAATATGAGAAAAATTATCAAAATATAATGAGAAAAATTAACACTGTATTAATAATGGTTTTCGTGAACAGTTTCAAAAAGTTCAAATTATTTATGTTTTTGAAAGAAGTCTCTTAGGCTCAGCATTTATTTGAATAAAAATACAGTAGAAACAGTAAAACTGTCAAATATTATTACAATTTAAAATAAGTATTTTCTATTTTAACAAATTTTAAAATGTAATTTCTTTCTGTGATTTCAAAGCTGAATTGCCAGCCATTAGACCAGTCGTCAGTGCCACATGATCCGTCAGAAATCATTCTAATATCCCGAGTTAGTGTTCAAGAAACTTTTTTTTTATTATTATCAATGTTGAAAAAAGTTGAGATGCTTAATATTTTTGTGGAAATAATGATACAGGTTTAATCCCCCCCAGGATTCTTTGATGAATAGAACATTTATTTGAAGAAGAGCATTGATTTGAAATAGAAATATTTTGTTACAATGTTTTTACTGTCACTTTTGATAATTTAATGCATCCTTGCTGAATAAAAGTATTAATTTCTTTTTAAAAAATCTTGCTAATCCAAACTTTTGAATGGTAGTGTACATTAAAGTGTTATGTTAACAATTAAAAAAAAAGTTATAGTGGTAAAAATGTGGTTAATATGATATTTTCTATTATCAAATAGAATTAAAAAATTTTGTTTAAATTTTTTACATTTTTTTAAATAATTAATATTAATTATAATTTTGTTTTAAATAAAAATTAAATAATTTAGAAATCGAATAAAAATATAAAACATACTGTATAGCCAAAAATGTCATTAAAATGAAATGCTTAAAAATGATGTGAAATGAAATGTCCCAATGCCTCATAATGTTCGAAATGCTGTAAAAACAAACACGCCAAATGTACTAAAGATTTTCAAAAAAATAAATAATAGTGATAAAAATAAAATAGAACATACAGTAATTGGTTTGTAAATTTCTGTTAAAACTTCCTTCTAGGTAACTGTAGACTATGATATTATATACAAGTGTAACAAACACACAGACACACAGACACCTGTAGGAATAGAGAGGGATAACATATCAAAGCGATCTGGCTTAGATCTGCTACTCTGTGTTTGCCTGGTGTGTGTGTGTGTGTGTGTGTGTGTGTGTAGACTGGAGAGGTAGGACACCTGCTCTATTCAGGTGCACTGAAGAACACTGACATCTCTCACCATACCCTGAGTGTGTGTCGCCTGTGTGTGTCTGTGTATCTGTGTTTAAAATTTCAGCTTATTAGAAGGCACAACAAAAATAATGATAGCACATACAAGGCCATAAAATTGTTTCAATTTTCATGAACTTAGCAATCAGTGTTTTCATCCATCCATCCATCCATCCAATAATCTGTGTCTGTTCTCCTACACATCATATTGAGTTCTGATATCTTTTTTAACAATTTTTTCCCCATTACAGACCATTTTAGATTGTTGGTGGGCGTGTGGGTGTGTGTGTGTGTGTGTTTGTCAGAGAGGCCTGTTTCATATCAGCTAACTACTTCCTGTAGAGAGGAAGAGAGACAAATAAAGGGCACAAGAGAAAGAGAGAGAGAAGAGAGAGTTTTCATTTCTTGTTCCGCTCACATGGTAGTAATCATTGCCTTCTGTAAATCATATCATAAGAAAGCGTTTGTGTGTGTGTGTGTGTATGTGGTTCTCATGTTCACAGTTAAATGTAACTACAGCAGACTGTTTTACAGCAGATTCTTTTTACATTTGAACCTGAAATACATAAAGTGCCCCCCCAAAATATCTGGACACTTAAGCCACAAATAAAAAGGAATACATTTCACTGTATTAGATGACAAGATATTAAACCAAATGGCAATGGCAATAAATATGAATGACAAAACAATTTGCCTAAATGAGTTAAAGTATTAAATATTTCATCATTGTACATGATGATGATCAAAACCTGACTTCATACATCCACTCAAAATCACACTGACATAAGTTTACCAGGGTACCATGACTGGAAATTCTGTCATAGCCAGCCAATCACGTTTAATCTGGATATTCCATTTATGTATGAGATGGTGCTGTTTGAGGCTGAAACTAACCTATGGTGGACCGAAGCTATCAATAGAACACCCACACACACTAATTTTTCAAGATGCTTATCCTAGCCGCATGTTAAAGCCACTAAGACCACCACAGCACCAAAACCTCTGAAGGGTGTGACATGGAAGACACCAGTGTCAGAAGTTCACCAAAATGACTTTCAAGGGCATATTTACGTTTATGATGTGTTTATATTACATATCAAAATACACAGTGTGGCATTCATTTAAAAAAATCAATCAATCTATCTATCTATCTATCTATCTATCTATCTATGACTCTTTCTGGAGCTCAACAGTTTGTCAGTACTCCCTGTGTTATCACATATGTCTAAGTACCGGCTGTAGTGCACCTCCCCAGAGCAAAAGAAGCTGTGATTGGTTTGGGACTCATTCATTAATATCCTTCATTCCTACCACACTAAGGAGGAGGAAAAGAGTGTATGACGTGCTAAAGGAGTCTCTACGTACAGTTCAAAGGCTCTGACTTCAGCAGGAAACAAGAGCAGACCTGTGCTAGGAGAGCCGTGCCTGTGTTTTACAGCTGTATTCCCCCTCAGTTACAAAGGCATGCTTCAGCAAAGTCCAAATACCGCGCGCGCGCGTGTGTGTGTATGTGTGTTATGTGTGTCCCTCTCTCACCGTCTAAGAATCTGTTCCTCAACTCTTCAATGCTTGCAGC